TGAAAAGTCTGTTCTAATTCTAATGAGGTTTCCTTTATAAGTGACTTGCTTTTCTCTAACATCCCTTGAGTTTCTGTCTTTCTGTTGCATTTCTGGCATTTTAATTATTATGTGGTAAGAGCATTTTTTTCTGATAATGGCCTTTCAGTGTTCTATATGCCTCACTATCTATATGTTAAATTATTTATCTGTGTCTGGAAAGTATTTCGCTATGACTTCTGCAAACAGGTTTTCTATGCCCTTTGTGCTGTCTTCTAGTTTGTCATTAATTCTAGTTACTCTTATATTAGTCTTCTTTGAGTTATCTGACAGCTGTAGAATCCATTTTTTCATATTCTCTTGTTGTTTGTGAGGTATCCCTCATTAACTGATTATTGACAGGCCTGCTATCTAGATCTGACGCTGTCTTCACGTTGGTCGCCTCTGCTGCCCATACTTTCCATCATATTTTTAGTCTCCTGGACTTCTGTTCAGAGCTATTTTGTTGACCTCCTTTTTTTCTCTATGCTGCACATTCATGTTTTGCATTTTTTTTCTTTAGCTCTACTAGGTTTTTATTAGCGTCTTTTCATTAGGGTCATTATCTGATGAGATGTACCTTCTTTAAATTTTTCAAGCACATTACTGAACTATTTTGCCTCCACTGATCCCTTTTGAACTTTCCTGCTCCATGGCTTGTGATTTCCTTCCCCTTATTTCCCCTTGAGCCAGTTTGGGCGGCGGGGGGGATTTGGAAGTTGGGCCCTTTGTTCCTTTTCCTTTTTATGTTCCTGTTTTTTGTTTATGTTTTGTGCTGGGGTGAACACCTTCTTTGGCCCAGTACCTAGTTCTTTGAGAGTGAGCTGCAATACTGTTTGGGACGCACAGGCAATCCAGATATTGGCATACAGAGAAAACCAATTGACAGCAACAATTGTGACACTGTAGATACAGTAGTAACATCAACAAGAACAATAGTGTCAAATATCAACTGGATACTGACAAACCCTAAGAACCAGTCATGAACTGCCCTTCACCAGAGCAAAGAGGTCAATGATCTTATGGACACTTAAACTACCCAGATACTGACCTCTAGTCATTTAGACCACTACTTTCTGCTGGGGTAGGCGGTGGTGCAAGAGCTCAAGTGCACCACAGAACTAAATGCCATCTCTTTCAGGTTCACCCCCTCTAAAGATCAAACCCATCAAACCTGGCCTCCTGCCACAGCTACAGGCCCCATGATACTCCTGGCCTGACTCCGAGATGCCAAAATATCCCTGATTAGTTCTTACCTTCCCCAAGCCTGTCAGGCAAGGCTGTCTCCCACCAGGTCTCTGTAGTAGCTAACATTTTAGTCCCAGAGTTAAATTCTCCTACTGAGTATGGATCTCATCTTTCTTCAATCAAGTCAGCTTTGCGGTCATCTCTTCTGCCAGCCTGTGCTGTGCAGAGCCTGGAAGCAGAGCCGGCTGGGACTTCGTGGTTTGGCTGCTCCCCTCTTGCCTCCCACACAGAAGGCACAAGACCCGGGCGATGGGGCGGGTGTGGGGTTTGGGGAGCACAAGGCTGTTTTGCTCCTGGCTCCTGCATTCCCATGCTCTGGTACACCAGTGGCAGTGTTGGCAGGGGAGGGGCGTGTGGCTCCTCTGTGCTTCCGCCTTTCCCACGGCTCTTGTGGAACTGTCAGCAATGTTGCGGGGGCAGGGCACATGGTTCCTCGGTGTTCCTGCCCCCCCGCATAGGTCTCACAGAGCTGGGGCACTCAGTGATGGTGTCAGTGTCGGTCCTTATACGATTGGGGTAAAATACTGGGGTGACACTGGTAGAGATACATATCTTTAGAGCCAGTAAAATGGTATAAGTCTTCTGAAAAGTAATTAATAACATAAATCAAGAACCTAATAAGTGTTTCCATTTTGGAAAATGCATCTAAAGGAAATTGTAAAATAAGAAAAAAAGTAATTGGCATCAGTGTGTTCATTATAGCACCATTAACCATATTAAAATAATAGAAATAACCTAAATATGTAGCTATAAAATAGAATGGTTAAATAAATTATAAATTCTTAGGAAGCAATATTAAATAACACTAAAATAGTAAGTGTGGAGATACTGCTAGAAATGCTCAAATATGATGTTAGGAAAGCAAAAGTTTTGAAGTTACATATATTCTGTATATATAGACATATGTGAGGCTGGGGATTTAGCTCAGCAGCAAAGCGCCTGCCTGGCAAGTGCAAGGTTATGAGTTCGATTCCTGATACCTGAAGGAAAAAACAAACCAAAAAAAGACATATATGGGTGGGTGGGTGGGTGTGTGTATTTATGACTCTGAAACACATGTGAACATATAGAAATTTAGTGAAACAGAGTGAAATATGAACATACTTGGCAAAAAGCAAATTCTGGCTCCACATTTAAAAGTTAATTTCTACACATTATTGTGTTTTGTTTTCTCACATATAAAGCTAGAGAATAAAATGAGATAGCTCTGTAAAGTCTGAGAGAAGGTAATAGAATTAGAGATGACTGTTTTGTTACTTTCTCTTACTTTTATTTCCATTAATTCTTAAAATAAATTTACTGTGTATATTTCATGTATACAACATGATGTTATGGGGCACATAGAGATAGTAAAATAGTTACTGTAGAGAAGCAAATTATTATATTCATTATCTCACATTGTTATCCTTTTTCTGTTTTTGAGGCAAGAACAGCTAAAATGTACTCATTTACACATGAATTCCATATACAGTTCCATTTTATTACCTGTAATTCTCATACACACAGACTGCTAAACTCGTTAGTCCTATATATCTTATTTTTATTTTTATTGATTTTATAATAGAAAATATATTTTGATTTGCTATTTATTGCCAAAATTATATTTCATACAGAAATATACACCTTATGGTATTTACTGTATGGCTAACTAAAGGAATAAAAATAATTATTTTTATTTAATAATGAACATCTTCTAGTACATGGTTGCTAAACTTACTAATTTATCTATTTAACAGATAGTTTTTACCTAGTGACAGCCATCATTCTAGACACTATATTCATTCAGTCCTTAAAACGGCCCTGTGAGAAAAGCACTATTACTATCCCAGTCTTTCAGATAAGGACTGACATGTAGAGCAGGTTAAGTAAGGTTAAGCTGGTCACATCAGTAGATGTAGTTAAATCAGTACCTGAAGTCAGGCAGTCTGACCTCACTGTCTGAGTCCTTCGTGCAATGCTGCATTTTCACTGTGCATCAAACATGCTTACTGAATATCTGCTTGGGACAGTGAGGAACACAGGGAACATAAAAGTACCATCCATGATTGAAAAAGATCATTCTCTAGGCTTTAGCTCCAGTCTCAAAAGTCTGCTCTGTCTTCGTTACTTTTCTGTCTTTGCTGAGACAAAATACCCAACACCCAACATTAAGGAAGGAAAGGTTTATTTAGCTCACAGTTGGTGGAGGTTTCAGTCCAAACTCAGCTGGCTCCAAGGCAGAGTGGCATATGGCACAGGGCAACCATTCATGGCAGTGGAAGATAGCAAAAGCAACAAGAGCAAAAGGGAGGAGCAGCAAGGAAGCCTCTTTCCCTCCCTTACATAGGCAAACTGTCCACCCCAGGGAGGGAGGAGCACTCACACCCAGCATTGGATCATGGACCATCATAAACTCTAAAATCCCACCCCATGACTGCATGAGGCTTTGGGGGGACATCCCAACACAAACCATAACATGCTCCCTTGGCTGTAGGCAAATGTCATCCATGTCACAACCAAATGCTAGTCACAGAGAGACACCCCCTCACTTGTAGTGACCTAGATTCTTATTAAAAATTTCTCTAAGCTGAAATTTGACTTCTGTGGCAATGTCTTACAGCATGATGAAAAATTGTAGAGCTTTATGAAGGTGCTTAATATTCTGCAAAACTTGAAACAAGTTTCTCTTTAGACATATATGTATATATACATATGCTCATATACCAAGTGTGTGTAAATAACATTCCAATTGAAATAGCAACATAACTCTTCAAACCATAACTCATTCATTTGTGTACATGCTTGCTGTTAAATTACCATTCCTTTCTCAGATGATTCTCTTCCATTTCTTTCCAAGTAAAGAATATTCTGAGACTACAAGGCAAATTCTTGCAAATGAAAAATTATTGTATTACAGTGGCTAAGAATAATGACTACAGAGTTGAACAGTCCAGATACCATTCAAGCACTGGTATTTCCCATGTTACTTTCAGCAAGCTTCTAACCCTCTTTGGACCTCAATTTCCCGATCATTTAAATGAGGTTTATCTTATAAAGTTGTTAGAAATAAGAGACATAAGCATATAAAACATTTTTAAAAGATGTTCAGTCAACACAAGTGCTCAGTAAATGATAGATATTATCACTGTATTTAAACTACTTACAAAATAAGTCCTTTCTTGTTATCTGCAACCAAAACAAAACAAGGAATTTCATTAAATACTAGGATCAATATGCAAATTCTATTTTTCAAGGTTTTATGTTTTCCAAATAACTGAAGTGTTACTGATTAATTTTACAAATAAATGTTATAAATTTGAATTAATATGTAAATATATAGTAATTAAATATTACACTGATTTATAAATTAGGCTTTGTACAAAATTTGTTGGGAAAAATACTCTACAGCTGAAAAAGGACATGCATCATCATAAAATGCATGTGTTTTATACTGCGCTAGCTCACTCTGGGGGGTTAACTTTTCTAAATATGTTTGTTTCTTTTCACTTCTACCTCTCTTCTAAAGTTTACTTTGCAATAAAACATGTTGAAATCAAACTACAAGAAAATATTAAGTTCTTGTCTGGCAGAGGACTGTGTCTATACTTATCACCAAAGATTTAATCACCACTGCATTTCTTTCAAGATCAATACTTTTCTTGACAATAGGACTGATTAAAATGTACAAAGACATTTATTTTTGCAAAGATGTTTTAAATAAATTATCTATGTTCTGTTCTTTCTTTTTCTTGTAGTCATTCTCAACACAGCACTGCAACCCGTCAGCCTTCAGTGACTCTCCAGCGGGCCATCTCTCTGGAAGGGTAAGATAATAGTACAGGCTCAAACTATACTGCGGGCTTTGAGCATTAAAAAATGTTCTTCCTCCTTCCACCCTATCTCCCTTCCTTCCTCTTCTTCCTGCCCCTCCTCCTCTTCCTTCCCCTTCTTCTTTCTCTTTTCCCCATCTTCTCTTTATCTTCTTCTTTCTTCTCTCTCCCTCTCTCCTTCTGTCCCTCCCACACTCCCCTCTCAGCAAACACCCATATGTTACACGCCAAGCACTGTGCTAGTTACTAGATTTAACAAGATTTCATCTTTCCCTTCAGAGGGCTCATTGTCTAGTGTGAATAACAGAAATACAAATACATACTTGCATACAATGTAAGCATCACATCACATCATAAGTATATATAAGGGATGAATGGAGGATCCAGGAGGGGCATTTGATAGAGAACAGGCACTAAAGGGGTAGGAGAAGCAGGTCAGGGTGGCTTCAGAGAAGATATAACTCTTAACTTTGCTTGCGCTATACCCCCAGCCCTAGATACAACTCTTAAGATAAGTAAAACAATGGTGTATATTTGACCAGCAGCATGAGTTTCATGGATATTCTTTCAAGGGAAAAGGAAAAAGTACCCTAACATTTATTGCACTCTGTCTCTCTATATATCTATCTATCTATCTATCTAGATAGATAGATAGATAGATAGATAGAGATAGAGATATATATCTTATCTGATTTCATTCCTGAAATGTCCTATGAGGTAGTTGTATTTTTTCAAAACCTTGATTCTCAGAAAGGTTAAATCATTTTCCTATGGAATTTGAATAAAAAGTGGCTCTGCCTCCATTTGAAAGCTAGTCTGACTCTACTATACAGATGTGCCCTCCATAATATAGTATGAAAAACTTTATTGAGTAGGAGAACACTAATTACACAATTCATGAACACATCTGGTTCAAGTTACATACAGTAAAGAATTTTTAGGGTTAAAAAATGAGCTAGAATTGACTCTAACCTTAGAAATCATTTAAAAAACCTAAAGTCCTCCTGTTTGGGGTGACCTGAAAGTCTGTGTGGATCCTATGCGGTCGAGGTATTTATAATACAGGTGAGAGTGTGAACACAGATCTCAGAGTGGTTACTATTACACATTTTGGTCATAAATGCAAAGACTTCCTGTAGAAATGCTGATTAATGGCATTTCTTTTGTTACCCTGGGGACATGGAGCACTGCTTCACTGGGGCAAGCAGCTCACTGGGACTGTAAAACTCAGTATCAGAAATGAATTAAAGATGCAAAGTTTGGCAAGGATGACTTTATTGGAAGCAGGAAAAGGAGAAGATGGATAGCTACTCTGATAAGAATCAGGATGGGGGACCCATAAAGATGGAGGCCCTGTGGGTCCTTTGTCCCTGGCCTCTTTTATAGGGGATCAGAGACCTTTCCTCCTACCAAGAACTTGCCATAACTTGCTTCTAGTCAACCCTGCCTACATCATTTATTCCGGTAATCTATGTGTAGCTTCTTTTTGTTTATTTGTCCTTGGCAGGGACTTATCTTTGGGGTGGGTAACTGATTGGCAAAAGGGATGCCTTATCCATGGTTAGCTTAGAGTCAGTAAGGGAGTATGTCGATAGCTATTGTAGTACTATAGTGATGCTAGAGTGGAGAATATAGTGACCCTACAGTGAGTACATGAGTATGTATATGTATTTGTCTGTGTATCAGTGCATAGGTGGAGTACATGCTGAATAAGGGCTTTCCCAGAAGTTAGTCAGCACCCCTCTCCTCCCATTGCTCCCCCTGCATTCTGCTGAAGATGGGGCCTTTGTGCACTCGCTTTCTCTGTATTCCATCTGTCAGCTCTTTCTCTCTCTGTGTTCCAGTGCCACCTGCACTATCTTCGTGCTTCTCCATATCTGGGTTTTCTCTTTCTCTGCCCTTCCTTGCACTGCTTCCAGGGGAATTTCTGCAGTAAAGTTTTAACTCCTTCTAGGCAGGGTTGGCTAGAAAACTAATGAAACCCTTATGCCTTACGGACCCCTCCCCCACTCTTTCTAAAGCTATTTCCAAACCTTTTCTTCTCATCAGCAAATTCTTACTTACAACTGGCTAGTAAGGCTTTTGTGTGTATGTCTTCCACTTGAGTTAAATTAATTCTTCTGTAGACATAGCCATGAATTCTAATTCTCTGATAAGATCAAGTAGCCAAAGGACAGAATAATCTAGAACTCACCAACTATTTGTGATACAAGCAGGTGTATACCAAACTTTTAATAAGTACTAGTTGAGTATATACTTACTCCAAGGGTTCTAAATAAAACAAGATTTACTTTTAGAATCCAGACTTATTTGTGTAAAACATTTCTGAAAATAAAACAAAACATTTGAGGTTGAAGTACTCTCTCACTGCTGAAATATTTAGGAGAGAAAAATCTCAGTAACTGTCTGTAAAGGCCAGAGCATTAAAGCTCTGTAGGCCCAGCTAACTGATAGAAACATAATGACGCACATAATTATTGTCACTGAACACAGAGTAGAAAAATTATTTTTTATTCTGTGTAGACCAATGAGTCCTAAACAGGTTTCCCATTAAGGTGTTAAACTGTTTCGTGTAGGCAATGAGTTGAGAATGAAAATTCTATTCTTTCAAAACTCTTCAATCTAATGCATTTGTGAAAAGCAACTACGTAGGATATTTCTAAAATGAATGTAGTTTAAAAGGCCATGTATTGACACAAGTTTCACCTAATTTTGTATTTACTTGACACAGAATAAATGGAGATATTGCCAATTTCCAATTCATTTGATCCACGGGGACAATAAAACTGTTTAACTGAGCCCTCTACCACAGAGTTGCCACTGTTTTTAAATTGATATCTGAATCATCCGTAACTATACCAGACAAAATGAGGCAAAATAATATCCCCATTAATAGTGCTTCTGTGCTTTGCATCCAACTTGACAGGTACTGCCCACACCTTAATCTCTTCTTCCTCCTGGGACTCTATTAAAAGGAAGCTAATGGAATTTTAAAAGGGACAATCCCACAGTAATAAAGGAAATGGAAGGGTATCAAAGATGAACCTGTGATGTTTCTGGATAACTAAGACCTAATGAAAGAATACTGATGGATGAAGCAGAAAAAAGTAGCCTCAGCTTTAAGCTACTCATGTACTGTACAACTCCTGGGGTGCATTCACATTTTGAAGAACAGTCATCCTTATCTGTGAAGATTCATCCCAAGATTCACCATGGATGCCCAAAAGGGAAGAGAGTACCAAGCCCTGACATTAGAGCTTTTCCATCTTAACTAAGTACTTAGTAAGCACAGTGGCTATAACTTTAGCGTTAGAACTTACCAAATGTTTATTTCTGGAGTTATTTATTTAGTATTTTCAGACCATGGTTGACCACGGGTAGCTGAAACTACAGAGAAGAGGAGACTGATGTTCTGTGTGAACGGGTCTCCTAGAGGAGTGTTTCTGGGATGTCCCCACAGGAAGCCCTTGTGGAATGCAGTGGCACTGTGTGGAACGGCTTTTGGCTCAGAAGAGAGCAGATCCGCTGAGCAGAGCCTTGCAAACTCAGAGACGTCTGGTGACACGGACAGGCCTGAGAACAGACGCTGAGAACACGAATAGATTGCCTTACAACATTAATATTTTGGAGTCAAAAGTTCCCTTGCTGGACTTCTAATAATATCCCAAGATTGAGGACTAAACCTGGCTCGAGCTGTCTGGCCTTTGAGCGCAGCTGGCTGGAGTCTTCTCTGCCCACACACTGAGAGAGTAGCTAGCATCCATCCTTAGTGTCCTCCAAAGTACCCCTGCACTCTGATCCCAAAGGCCGTGCTAGGTAATATCTGAGAGGAGTCTGATATGCTGATTAATGCACTGAGTTGTAAATGCGCCCTTTCATACTTACAAGGCAAGGATGACTGCAGGTTTTTAGTTGCTAAGATTACTGGTCAAAAATCAGAGCCACAATTTGCTGCAGAAATTTAAGTGACCAAGTGACTGCACCAAAATAAGGAAGCAAGTTGGGTTAGGCGGAAAGGATTTTTGTATGTCTTTGGAGGGTATAAATGCTATATATAGTTGCCATTCTTCTCTTTATTTTGCTCCCCTTCTACTTGAAAGTTTACTTATCAACAGTGTAGTAAAATGAAGGACACGAGCAGCTAGCTAGTATTTGATTTTTAGAAACGCTCAGAAGAAATCAAACTTCTTTCTCCTAAAAATTATTTTTGTTTGTGATTGATAGTTCAGAGACAGAAGGCTCTGGGTGAGAGTTCCAGTCTTACTCTTGCAGCCAGCTCTTCTGCTAAAGGATCCTAGCAGACTGGGAAGACTCGGGAGTTTGCGGGGCCTCCTTCCTTCCCTGGGGGAGGCGACCTGCAGAGTCTAAACCTCAGTGGATCTGTTACAGCGATAGGTAACCTGTGAGCATCTGTTTCCCCAGCTCACCCTCACCATTTCCTTTGAACTTCTCCTGCTGTCCAGCAGTTTCCTCTCTGCTCTAGTGAGCCGCCACCTCATTTTCCTGAGGCTCATGCTTTCTCCATTTCCTTAATCCAGACAACCTCCTTGTAATCTTTCTTGTTTACATGTGCAGAGCTGAAAATATAAAAGGTGTCATCACAGCAAACTTCTAAGGAATGCCAAAAATGTATCAGAGTTAGAAAAATGCAGAGGCCGCATAGACCTTAGAAAATATGTAAGGGATGTGGGTATGTGAATTCTAATTCTCTAACAGGGCCTGGATTTCTAACACCATCTGCTGTTGCCATAACAATGATATGAGTAAGCAAATTTTTCTTGTGTGTTTAGTTATTAGCCAAACAAATACCTTTCATTACAAGCTGGCTGATTTCAAGGCCAAGGCAATGAAATGCAAACCATAGCTCAGTATCATTTCGGAGGTATTGGAATGCTGTTGTCGCTGCAGTCACTGTTAAAAATCCAGTTCCATAAAAGAATGTCAATAAAAGTAGAATGAGCTACTAAAGTAATTTCATTCACTTTGAAGTCTAT